AGCACCGCGGCAACAATTCTGTAACATCACAGCCAGCGAGCACAGGTTGGGAGAGACAGGGCCATGGAGCCAGCTAACAGGAACCCTGGTACGAATGGCCCCGAATCCCTTCCACTGGCTTCGTGTCACGAGATGCCAGGAGCCCTTTAAACCCTCCTCACTCCAGCCGGACAGACAGGAGACTGACGACAGAGGCGGCATTTTCGACGGGGACCCCAATCCTGCTGCCATTAAATCCAGGGGAGTCGGGCCAGAGATCAAACAGGAGCCGGACCGGCTATGCCCTTAGCTGGAATCCCAGCTGGTACATTTCAGCACCGTGGGACAATGGGGGTGTCACTCTACTGCTTTAAAGGGGAGTTTCACCCGCCCAGAGATCACGCCACGGTTCTTCGTATATTTCATCGCACTTTGCTCCAAAGGGGATCACACCACGACAAGAGTCAGGTCAGGCCAGAAAGAGGCGACAGCCCCTGATCAGTCACCGCGTAGCCAGACGGTTGGCCAGTGACAGAGGCCACAGGCTTTTGGGGAACAGATTCTGGTCACGTTTGATAGGAAGGTTCTACGTCTACAGGGCTGATCAATGACCAGTCACTTGTTGGAGACTCCAGCGGGTCAATGGGTAGCTTATCCCCCAGCTGCAGCACCTTCTATTCCAGTGCTTTGAGCGTCTGCAGCCGCTGCCACTCACCACGGTAGCATCTGTTCAGTATTCACGAACCCCGTCTAAGGGGAACTGAATGGAAACCAGGACCCAGATTCCAGCCGTGACAGCCCAGGCTTCAGACACCCCCAATCACCCCGTGCACGGACGCTCCAAGGACTGTCGGACAAGCCGGTGTTGGATTGTCCAGGGAGTTTGCAGCGTGATGCCTGGACGCTGGCAGACACGGCCCCGTGTGCGATGCGTGTCGGGGGGTTGGGATCATCCAGCCAGCGGCTCTACAGTCATTAATTGCCCGACAGGGATCCTTGATCTCACACAAGGGCACCGATCTGTGGGCAGTGCCCCCGCTGACCTCCCAAGTGCAGGGCGTGTCCACAGGATGGGGACAGTCGCTCTCCTCATTACTACTGATCCAGCCACTAGCGATCTGGGGGGATGTTACTTCTCCATCGTGCCCTGCAGCCAAGCAGCACCAGCTAGTGGGAGGTGAGAGGGATGAGTCATGGTGCCCACAATGAGCTAGCCTCTCTCCGGAAGCTGGGAGTTCACCGAGTGGAGCAATGCCGTGCAGGGATCCGAGACGCATTCGAGGCCATGAGTGAAAGGCTAGCCTCCACGTCAATTGCAAAACTCCCCCTGACTTCAATGGAGCCAGGATGGCCCCCTGCGTACGTAGCACTATAGAAGTATGTGGCACGGTCCCTGTCCTGGAGAGCTCAGAGTCCAGGACAGGAGACCAAGTGTTTAAAGGGAAAGAGGCGCATAGTGAATAGGCAGGAACCGGCCGTCCCAAGGGCACAGCCTGAGTGAAGGCACAGAGCAGGAGAAAGACGCAAGGAAGCAGAAAGGGAGCCAGGCCTGTGTGTGTCATGCACGAGCTGTGTCGTGAGTGATCATGTGGTGCAATCGTGGCAGGGCCTGCAGAGAGGACAATGGATCTACTCCTTATGCCCACTACGGGAGCTCTCCGTTAGCTCAAGTGGCAGAGAGACAGCTTTCCAAGCCAAGGAGCCGGGTTCTAGTCCCAGCTCTGGGTGTGTGAGACTTATCCAGTCGCTGGGCCCAGACTGGTGGGAAGGAGGGCACCAGGGGATGAGCGGGAGCAGGAATCTGATGCAGTAAGAGGCTTGCGACGCATGTCCCAGTCTCCCTCTCACACCCGTAACTGGTTAATTATCCCCCTAGTAATGTATGTTCAGTTACACTAAGGGGAAGGGACAGGGCGTCAGGGCTGCACTATGCTTCATGGGCAGCTTGTCATTAGAGACGGCTCCTTCCTTTGCATTTGGGGCCATGCAACACAGCCAGAGCCCTCTCCCAGCAGTTGTCACACATGAAAATCATAGAACTGGAAGGGACCCCGAGAGGTCATCTAGTCCAGTCCCGTGCACTCAAGGCAGGACTAAATATTATCTAGACCAT